GTCCCATTCAGAGCAGGCGGCACAGCCGTCGTGGCGGTCCCATTCAGAGCAGGCGGCACAGCCGTCGTGGCGGTCCCATTCAGAGCAGGCGGCACAGCAGTCGTGGCGGTCTCATTCAGAGCAGGCAGCACAGCAGTCGGGGCGGTCTCATTCAGAGCAGGCGGCACAGCAGTCGGGGCGGTCCCATTCAGAGCAGGCGGCACAGCAGTCGTGGCGGTCTCATTGAGAGCAGGCGGCAGAAAAGTTTTGGTAATTTGAGTCTTTTGTGTTACAGTGGTAGGCACATAGGCAGTTGTGGCAGCTGGATTTGTTGTAGTTTCAAGTTGAGGAATAATTTCACCCAAATCTGTATCACAGGAATACTCATTTATTTTTTTTATTTTATATTCGTTTACCAGATTTTTAGTTTTATTTACCTGAACAGTTCCCACGATAAAGTTTTACATCATCCAATGCCACGTTGGATTGGTTAGACCCACTGCGTCCCTCAATGATTATCTGAATAATTGTATTGAATTACATACAAGTGGTTGAGTTGCATAACTACACTTTCATTTCATTTTATTTTTTTTTGTGATGAATTACCTTAAAAGCTTGATTTGCATTGAAGTCAACCCGAGTCAAGTGCCACATATTGCCTTGGTTGTCGTTCTTTTGCCAGATACTATCCAAATTGTTCTGGAGCAGATAAACGTTGAGGTCCATTGGAACTACTGAGCCATACATGCGATACGAGAACTGCAGACAATGGGGGCCAGTCTCTGAACATTCAACGCTTAATAGACGAGCCTTGTCACCATACTTTAAATTACTGATCCTAATGACAAGGTAGCCGCCTCCTGAGGGGGATATTGCATCATGTCAGGTTGTTTAAAATAGTTTACCATTAAGAAATTTTTGGAAAATTACGTTACCAGTAAGTTTAGGAGAAGAGCCATTTATCTGGTCAGAATTCGACTCATCGTTCAATGTCCAGGCAAATGCATCAGTGACCATTTGACTCCATGTGCACAAGTTTCCATTGAAGCTACAGTCAAAGTTACAGACTGAAAGAAACATTCAGTTATAGCGACACTGTTTTTTCAAATATTAACTTTAAAAATGGCACTTCCATTGCATAAATGAACGACAAATTTTACACGTACCGGTGCTTTGGTGGGATGGAGCTGCCGTCGTTGACAAAGGAAGTGCAGTTCCAAGATTTTCAAGTTCTTTAATATAAAATTACAGAATTAGCATTAATCCAATTTTTGAAATGTTTCTAGTAACTGTATTTAGTCAGAAAGTAAATCAATGTGTCTTATAAAATGGGAGCGTCACCTGAACATGAGCCAAAGTCAATAGAAATGTCATCTATGGCCACATGAGACTGGGCTTTAGACTCCTTTATTCCTTCCAGCATGATCTTGAGTGTGGGGGTAATGTTTAGGTTATTGCTAGATTAACACCACATGAGCAGCACATTTTAAAGGTTTATTTATCACTTACATGGAATGAGTTGTTGACTTCAATATCAACACTTCCCAGATGCCATTCTGGTCCTTGGTTGTTTCTTACAGACCAGAGCTTTGTTACTGTACGATTTTGGAGCAAGTAAATGTTGAGAGCCATGCTTGTGGCAGAACCGTACATGTAGTACCAAAAGTGCAAGCAAAGTGGGCCACCATGTTGGCACACTGAACTAAGCAAGCGAGCAGAGTCCTCATGGGTCACACCATCTCCATTAAGGTACAAGTTGAAACCAGCTACAGAAAAAATAAATGTACGAGTTCTGTTAAAAAAAAAAAAAAAAAAAAAAAAAAACAAAGGTGAGGAGCATACCTCCAGTTGAGTGATCATTTGGTCCAGTGAAATTTGCATGTGTGGATCTTGAATGTCTTGCCCAGTCACAGCTGTCCTGAGTGAGCTGCTCCCATCCACAAATATTCGTGTCAAAATTGCAGTTGAGTGGGCATACTGTAGAAAGAAAATTAAGTGAATCCACTGAGCAGTAGAAAAGCAATGTGAACAGGTGAAGTATCCTTACAGAGCTGATTTGGTGTAGTAGGAAGTAGAGTTGCTGGCATTCTTGTTTGAGAGTTGTCTGTGTTGAGAAAGTATAATGAGTCTTCCACCTCAAGTTTAAATGGAAAAGTGATTTTGTTGGCACCTTCACAGGTGCTGGTTATAAAATTAGAATATTGAAAAAGTTTTATTCATTTCTGTAATTCCACTCAAGTGAAAACTTGTATTCATTCATTCCACAGACTTATTTCAAATGTGTTTAATGATTATAAACTAATGAACCCTAAATTCAGTATCTGTGAAAATTTGAATATTGTGAAAAGGTTCAATATTGAAGACACTTTGTATGACAGTCTAATCAGCTAATTAACTCAAATCACTTGCAAGACTTTAAATGTTTCAGTCTAGTTCTGTAGGCTACACAATCGTGGGGAAGACTGCCGAGACCTTTGACACCTTGCACAAGGAGGGCAAGACACAAAAAGGTCATTGTTAAAGAGGCTGGCTGTTCACAGAGCTGTGTCAAGCACACTTGAGGCGAAGGGAAGGAAACGATGTGGTAGAAAAAAAAAAAAAGTGTACAAGCAATAGGGATAACTGCACCCTGGAAATTATTTTGAAACAAAACCCATTCCAAAATGTGTGAGGAGATTCACAAAGAGTGGACTGCAGCTGAAGTCAGTGCTTCAAGAACCACTGCACTCAAAACATATGCAAGACAAGGGGGTCAGCTGTCACATTCCTTGTATCGAGCCACTCTAACAAGAGACGGCATCAGAAGCATCTCGCCTGGGACTGCTGCCGAGTGGTCCAAAGCTATGTTCTTTGATGAAAGTAAATTTTGCATTTCCTTTGGAAATCAAGGTCCCAGAGTCTGGAGGAAGAGAGGAGAGGCACAGAATCTATGTTGCTTGAAGTCCATTGCCAAGTTTCCACAAGCAGAGATTTTTTTTTTTTGGGGGGGGGGGGGGGGCATGTCATGTGCTGTGTTAGTCCACTGTTTTGAAGTCCAAGGTCAACACAGCTGTCTACCAGCTAAAACCATGTCGGACTGATGTTACACTTTCGTGGCGAGACTTGTTGTGTCACTTCCTGTTTGTCGGTAGCTCGAGTAATTAGTTTGCTCGAGTAGAGTTTTCTTGATTCATCTCTTGCAGTTTCCCCCCCCCCCCCCCCATTCTAGTTCACAAACACCCTCAGTATGGCTTTTCTACTCTTCGATTGTGATTGAAACACCTATCACTTTTTTTTTTGCATTTTGGGATATACTAGTTTATGACAACTGGGAGAGAAGCCAACGTTGGGTTCTCTCCCCGTTGTCACTTGCTTCGTGTGTCAGATGTTAAGTTATCCTCTGCCTCCTTTAGAGGCAATGATGCGTATAACAAAATGTAGTCTTATGGTAGCTTTGGAGGAGAGGCCGTCTGAACTGAAAGCTCAGCTCTGCGCTACAGAGAAACCATTAGCTAGCCAGGTCCCTTTAGACAGCACATAACCACAAAGACTAAATCCCATTAGCTGTCCAGCAGACTTGGCAGCCTGGACCCCAGGGCAGCTGGGTGACGGTCCGGAGTAAGCTTAGTACTAAGGCTATGCCCCCAGTTCACTGACTTGTTCAGATTTCTAATTTATTTTCTTTGCTCAGTGACACCCACTGAGAAGCAGACCCTAGTTATTGGAAGATCTGTAGTCTGAAATGTGGTTTTAGGGACTCCAACAGCCATAGGTAAATGCATTCCGGAGACCAGAGCAGGAGACAAAATCTCATCTAAACTGCAAACTAAGGCTAAATACAGTATTATCATTCACAATGGCAGTAATTACAGCCCATTACTCCAGTCCGAGGTCACTAAAAATTTATGTTGCTTTGGTGTGCGACTTCGCTAAAATCATGTCTACTCTATATAGTTTCTCTGGTCCCCCTCCCCAATCTGACCAGCGATTACATATTTAGCCATATGTCGTCCAACCGCTGGGTGTCCAGGTGGTGTTCTGGCAACAATGTAGGCTACATGGATAACTGGATTGCATTTTGGTGACAACTGTCCATCTGATGGAGAGATAGCATCCATCCCACTTTAGATGGAGCTGCTCCTTCTAGAAATTTGGCTGATTTTGTTAGTCCTCCAAATTTTTGACAACCCAGGGTCCAGTCAAGGAAGCACAGTTGGTCTTCTACACCTCTGTCTGCGGCTTTTTTTTTTTTTTTTTTCACCCACCCACACCTTTATTGTAACAGTATCAACTTGCAGATTACTCAAAATAAACCAAAAATTAGCTCTAAAAATATAAACCATAAAAATTAAACACAATTAACCAGAAAATGAAATCAGTAAATGTTGATTATTGATCAAATCTTTCCTCTAAATCCATATTAAACTGATAGAAACTTTGCTACAACAGGAGGATTGTTAGTATGAATCCACTCCCATTTAAATTTATGTTCCTAGAACTGGCCAAGGTGGAGGAGTAGCTTCTATTTTTCAGTCAGGATTATTGATTAATGCCAAACAGTTATTCTTTTGAATCACTGTCCCTCAGTCTCATCCAAAATGGAAATCAGAAAAGCCACTTATTAGCCGTTCATCATCCACCAGGCGCTTAATCTCAGTCTGAATTGTTAGAATTCTTAACAGACTACCAAATACTGATAGTCATAATAATGGATGATTTCAAAATTCATGTAGATGTTGAGTGATAGCTTAACATAGCCTTTAATAATTTAATAGAGTCAATTGGTTTTACCCAAAGCGTCCACACATCTACTCACTTAGCACACCCTTGACTTAGTTCTGACCTATGGTAGAGAGATTTAAGGTTGCTGTAATTAAACCTTTAAGTCTGACCTTGATTCAGAAATTCTGGCCAATTACAGACTTCAAACACAACTTTCATCAAAAAAAAAAAAAAAGTCTAGAGAAATTAATTGCAGGTCAGTTGTGTGAACATCTACAAAAATAATCTGAAGAGTTTCAGTCAGGGTTTAGAGCTCATAGCACAGAAATTGCACTAGTAAAAATCACTAATGACATTAGAGGCCTCAGACTACAGACTTGTCTGTACTGGTCCCGTTAGACTTCAGTGCTGCATTTGATAGTTGATCATAATATTCTATTACAGAGGCTTGAGTATAATATTGGGATTATAGACAGCTCTAAAATAGTTTCATTTACCCGATAAGATTCCAGTTTGTAAATGTAAATTATGAATCATCATACACCAGAGTTGGTCATCTAGTTCTTCAGGGCTCAGTGCTTTGACACTCAATATATGCTTCCATTAGGTAAAGTTATTAAACAGCGTGGGAAACGTTTTCATTGTTATGCTGATTACACCATTATATTTGTCCATGAAAGCCAATGAATCCAAATCAGCTACTTGACTACAAGCATGTCTTAAAGACGTGAAAACCTGGGTGACCCTTAGTTTTCTCCTTTTGAACACAGACGAAGACTGAGGTTTTGGTTTTTGGACCAGAGCATTTTAGGAATGAATCAGTCTTTCGCCATCATTGGATGGCATTAATCTGGCCTCCAGTTTTAATGTCAAAAATCTTTGCATTATTTGTGATCAGGACATGTCTTTTATTCCCCACATTAAAAATGTTACTAGAACTGCATTCTTCCACCTGCGTAGTATCGCTAAAATCAGAAACTTCTAAAAATTTGATAGAAAATCTGGTTCATGCATTCGTCGCGTCTAGACTGGATTACAATGGTTTGTCATTTGTGTCCAAATACTTCATATATAATAAAAATAAAAAAAGTCTTCATTTATTCCAAAGTGCTGCTGCCAGAGTCTTAATCATACCTCTCCAGTGGCTCCCTGTCAAATCCAGAATTCAATTCAAAATCCTACTTCTAACCTACAAAGCTCTAAACAACCTAGCTCAAGCTCGTATTACAGATCTTATTGTTCCACATTTTCCTAACGGAGCACTTCACTTAGACTGCAGGTTTACTCGCAGTTCCTAGAGTTTCCACAAACAGAATGGGAGGAAGAGCTTTCAGTTATCAGGCTCCCCTTTTGTGGAACAAATTTCCAATTTCTGTTTATGAGGCTAACATTGTCCAGTTTTAAAACTAGGCTAAAGACTTTCCCTTTTGTTAAATCCTATAGTTGGGTCAGCTTGAGTTTCCTGAGCCGTCCTTCAGTTCTGCTGCTTTAGGCTTAGATTGTTGGTGGACAAACTGACCACATTCCTAGCTACCAGTACCTGGTTTGAAGACCATGGTATCCCTGTTCTTAAATTGGCCAGCAAACTCACCTGACCTTAACCTCATAGAGAACTTATGGGATATTGTGAAGAGAATGTAGAGACACACCAAACTCAATTCAGAAGAGCTGAAGGCCACTATAAGAGCAAACTTGGCTCTCATAACACTTGAGCAGTGCCAGACTGATTAATCCATGCCACGCTGCATTGCTGAAGTAACTTTCAGTTCTCACACACTTTTACAGTTCGTCAACATTTAAAAAAAATTTTTTTGTATTTGTCTTTTTTTAATTTTCAGAGATAATGAATTTTGAGTTTTAGTCGTCAGTTATAATCAACATTAAAAGAAAACATTTGAAATATATTAGTCTGTGTGTAATGAATGTGCAAGTTTCAAAGTTTTTATTTTAATGGAATTACTGATAAACTTTCATGATATTTTAATTTTCTAACCAGCACCTGAACATCTTTAACTAACATTTAACAGCAATCTTCCTCTCTGCAGTTTAACTGAAACTTTGCTTCATTAGGTCAAGCTTGATGAATACAGTACCTGAAGTAGCATTCCATTTTGGCAAAGTAACTGATGAAAAGTCTTTTTCAGCTCTGGAATAGAACAGCCAGATTGTTGAAAACAGCTACTTTAAATTGTATTAATCCAACCAAAGATTAGCAAATCTCAGTTTCACTGAAAGTTAAAAAACACACCTTGAAACCCACTTGTCCTCAGTCCCAGAAAGAGCCAAGAAGACCACAGCCACTGTAAACATTCTTGCAGTAATGTCTCCAAGCATGGCCGATCCTTTGATTGCAGCTTTTCAGCTGCTTTGACACGGATAGTTGAAGATGGATAAGCAGCTGTTGCAAAAGTTTCTTTCTGCAAAACCAAAATCATGTAAACCTTTAACAGACAACACATGTTGCTTTGAGAACAGAGCAGGTGGTTTTAGAGGTTTGTTTTCCAGCAACCAACTACAGGTGACCACAACCAAGACATGACAAAACAGCTGAACTTGGCATAAACAAAATGATCCAAGGGTCTGAACATACAGCAAGAGTTTTAGTCAACAACCACAAATGAGATCAGGGATTGGGGATAAAATATCACAAGGCTTTGAAGCAATGCAAACTTAAACAGACAACACTAGTTCTATCCATCATCAACAATAAAACCCCTTTTCTTCACAGAATAAGAGCCGACTTTCTGGAGGTTACATCAAGATGAAATAATCAAAGTGCTGTTTCACGATTATCAATGAACAGCCCAATATGAATTTTACAAACCTGATCAAATAAACACTGGCCATAACAGAGTAAGGCCTTTTTTTTTTTTTTTTTGCTACAAACAAAAATGCAATCAACATAAAATGTTTGCATTTGTAAAACTCAAGAAAGTTGGGAGCTGACACTTACCCCACTGAGACAGACACCTGCTCTGTAGGACCTGGTTCACACTGCTTTCCACACCTGATATAAATAAGCTCCAGGCTTGAGTGGAGGTTTTTTCAAGCAGGTGTTTCAAATCAGGGAGACGTCTCAAAATGAGCAGGTAAGTATCCCCTGGATTAAAAATGAACTTAATTCATATAAGAAAATTAACTTTAAAAGCAAATAGCATACTGAAAAACAACATTTACTCAATATAAACCAAAAAAAAAAAACATCTGTCAATGCTTAAATTTTACATATTTTGGTGGTGTGTTGTGGCAGTCCAAATCAAAGCTAAAACTTTCATGTGACAAAATGGTAGAAATTGTCTTTTTCAGTTGGCATTACATTTTTGAGGGTTATGTTTGCAAAGATGAGCTGGAAAAGGAGTCACTCGTCTTACCTTGTAACAACAAAAGAAGTGCTGACAAAGTGATAAGCAAAGTGCATCGTGGGGGCGTGATGTTTGAAATGTTTAATTTGACATTCCTGAAGCTCTGAAAGAGTGGCCCCAAAGAATCAATGTTTTTGTCAGGGATTTAAAATGAAGGTGAATACAAGTTAACATATATTCAGAGAGTAAAAAATCTGCATTATTATTTTTATCATTTTTATTATTATTGATATTATTATCCATTCATTCATTATCTTTTACCCGCTTCTTCCTTTTTGGGTCGCTGGGGTCACCGGTGCTCATGTCCAGCCATCACTGTGTGAGAGGTGAGGGACATCCTGGACAGGTCCCCAGTCCATCACAGGGACACATGAAGACAAAGGAGACAAATAACCATTCACCTCACACCTAGAGACAATTTAGAGTTACCAATCAGCCTAACATGCATGTTTTTAGTCTGTGGGAGGAAACAGGAGTACCCAGAAAAAAAAACATGCATACACAGAGAGAACATGCAAAATCCACCCAGAAAGGTCCCTGACTGAGGAAAATCAAATAATGCTAATAGATAGTGGATAATCTTTCATATAGCCTACATATATTTATCTATCAGTATGAACAAATCCATGGCTGAAGTTGTCCTTAGATGGGACAACCGACTCAGGATCTGAAAGTCACAGTTCAACTCCCCGCTATGCCCATGCCGTGGTGTCCTTGGGCAAGACACCCAATCCCTAATTGCTGCCCGGGTGCTTACATAGCTGCCCACTGCTCCACCTGGGTGTATCTCAGGTGTGATGGGTTAAATGCAGAGAAACAATTTCATAATTTTATGGGAACATAGTATGATGACAACGCATTGCACTTACATACTTATAGACTTTTATATACTTATAAAATCAAGCTGGTGAAATAATAAATCAAACATATAAAATAAAACAGTTTTAATGTCAAAGTTGACAGTGTTTATCTGTTTGTTAAAGGCTGGCTACAGATCATGTGACAAATTATTTTTTTATTATTTTTTCTACAACTTTATTCAGGGAACACTTACCAAAGTAAAATAAAACATTGGATTTACAACAATAACCAGACAGTGGTTGGAAGAAAAAAAAAAAAAAACACTTAAAAATACAAAAACTAAAAGAAGAAATTCAATTTAAAACTGGTAACGTCACAAAAAATAATCCAAAGGATTTATTCACTTCAGTGTGAGAGTGAAAAACACTTGTCAGTGGACTAACCTACACTGCAGTCTAGATTAAATCATCTCCCTGTACAATCATCTCCCAGTCTCCTGTTGTTCTCCTCTTCATCGCTGACTCCACAGCGCCCCCTGATGGACATTAATCTGAAGAACAGGTGTGCTGCTAAATTTAACTCTTCAGTAACCGTGACGTCCACAACAGTCATTGAAAAGGTCTTCCTCCTTTATGTTCACAATTTCACAATTTGCATTTGTGTTTTTATATACATGTTATAAAATTATTTAATATAAATCGTGTATTTATTCCTTGTATGCCTACCATTGCATATCACAAACTTTTAAAATATTTTACTATTGTCATAAGATCAGGTAATTGTTTCCAACAAAAAAGTTTTCTACTTTGAAATAGTAAAAAAATAATAATAATAATAATAAATCTGAAGATTTTTTTAAGTTTCAGTATGCGTTTTGAATAACTTCTATGTAAACTTGTTAATCAGAAAAAATGAACTTGTTGCATTTGTATATATTTTTGCTTTCATCTTTTGTATTTTCTTTTGTGCTTCATTGTATATTTAATGTCACCTTATGCAACAAAAAACTTTTTTCCCCTTTATATACTCCTTATGATTTACATCTATACTATTTACAAGCTGTCACAATATTTTAAGAAAATATGCACTATTTATCATTGTGTGTGAAGAAAAATAAAGCTCTTATGATGAGACAGTAGCATTTAAGCCATTTTCATTGTAATTACTGGTAAATACACATTTTATGTTGTTTATAATATCTACCTTACACAGCTTGTGTTTTACTACGTCACAGGTCACAGAAAGGATACTTTTTTCATGTTCCTAGAATTTTTGTTATTCTTATGGAAAGAATTAAAAAAAAAAACACCGGGCAGCGCCCGTGGTCGAACCAGCACCCGACGGTGGACCCGCTGGGTGCAGATTGTTGCCAAGTAGAAGTAACCACTGAGCTAACCGGTGCGAAAATAAAAAACAGCTTTGCTTCTTATATAGTGATGAAGTGATGACATGTCCAGTGGGTTGTCTATGTTCACTAAACTGAATTTGAGTTACATGAAAAATCACAACATAGACAAAAAAAATAAGTTCCGATTTTAAAGTCTCAGAGGTTGACAAAGTGTTTTCTTGCTGAATGCTGGCTGCAGATCACGTGACTCACACATCTTGTTTTTCTTCTTCCGTCTCAGGAAACATTCACATGAAAAGCTACTCTGCTCTTTTTATTCAGCCTGCTTTCTTTCATTCTGTTGTTTCACAAAGCCAGGTGTAGTAGGTACATTTTTTATTTCCAAACACCTGTTCAGAACATTTTCACATGATGCTGTTGAGCTGTTTCCATGAATCACATTCATTCAACCTTTATTTAGACAGGTAGATCCCACTGAGCCTCGAGGACTCATTTACAAGAGAGACCTGATTTCAACAAAGATTGATGATAACAATGGACAACAGCGACGACAATAAACAGTTATAAAAAGTCATACAGATTTTTTTTTTTTTTTTTTTACAAATAGGATGGCTAAAAAAGAAAAGTAACAAAAAACAGCTATTCTAAGGTGAATGTAGAAAACTAAAAACAGGAACATGTCTGAACTGGTCCCTGCCAAGAGTCCAACAGATTCTTAAAGCCACTTACAGAGGTCAAGGTCGAGAGCTTCAAATCTTTTTGTAAGATATTCCAGGAAACAGAAGCAGAGTAGGAGAAGGCCCTTTTGCCTAGTTCAGTCCTCACTGAGGGAACACTGCAGGTAATAATGTCCTGAGAGCGCACGCTGTAGCTGCACTCACACAGAGACATGTAGGAGGAGATGTATGAAGGCAGCTGACCAAGAAGTGATTTAAAGATGAAAATGTACCAGTGAGAGAGTCTGTGTGAAGTTAATGATGTCCAGTTAACCAGTGAATACAGGGTGCAGTGGTGGGTACGATAATCACAGCCAGTTATGAATCTTAGTGCACCGTGATAGACAGCATCCAACATCTGCAGGGTTCTTGTAGGAGCGTTCATGTAAATAATGTCACCGTAATCAATGGAGGGAAGGAAAGTCACAGATACAAGGTGTTTCCTAGCATTCAGAGTTAGACAGGATCTGTTTCTGAAAAAGAAACCCAGTTTAACTTTCAGTTTCTTTACCAAGTTTTCCACATGGAGCTTAAAAGAGAGATGTGAGTCGACCAAGATACCCAAATATTTATAGGAATCAACAAACTCAATCGAGACATCATTTGAGGATGAAATCAGAGGAAGAACTACTGGGACAGACTTCCTGTTTGAAAAAAAAAACATCTCTTTGGTTTTGTCAGCATTTAAGACAAGTTTGAGGTGGAACACATCTGACTGGATGATGTTAAATGCAGATTTCAAAAGCTGGAAAGCCTTTTCAACTGTTTTAGGGGTGTAGATGTCTGTGATGGTGGGGAGGCTGACTCCAACAGACTTCTGTGCAGCCTTCACCACTCTCTGGAGAGCTTTCCTTTCTGCAGCTGTGCAGCCTCCATGCCACACGTTGATGATGGAGCACAGGATGCTCTCCACTGCACACCTGTGGAAGGAGGTGAGGACTGAGCTTCCCAGTCCAGTTCGCCTCAGCCACCTGACAAAGTAGAGTCTCTGATGAACTTTCTTGATCACATAAACTACAACCAAAGAGTAATCAGGATTTATGAGCAATCGTACATTTATCATTTGTAATATGATATTTCACATAATATAAAATCGTCATATAATTTAGTCAATTGACTAATCTACACTAGAGTCTGGATTAAATCGTCTCCTTAGATCTTCTCCCTAATGGCGCTCCCTGCTGGACATTAATCTGCACATGTGTTCTGCTGAAGGAACTCCTCGATTCATTAAAAG